CGAGATCAATGTTAGTTTTGAAAATGTTCCTAATCTCAGCCAGAATATATATATATATTTTTTTTTACGTAAACCGTCTGTATTTCTCCCCTGTTTGGAGCAGACTCACAGACCCAGGGCTTCTACGGCGGGAGGATGACTAACGACCGGCTCCTGGCGGTGAAGAACGCCACCTGCGAGGCCATCGATCACCTCCACAAGTCCCTGGAGTCCTGTCCCGACCCCGAGAGCGAAGTCCCGGATCCCAGAGGCATCAAGGTTTGGCTCCCGGTTCCAACATGGTGTTATTTCTGGTTTAGAAATCACAGAAAAAAGTTCTGACTGTACAGAAACGCTCTAATAGAGCCCAGGACAAATGGAGCCTAACATCAGGAAGACATCAGTGAAGTTTTTGTGGCTTAAACGGATAAAAGTCGAAAAGTTTTATTAACATTATGAAACCAGATTTATGAAACCAGAAAAGTCCCTGGATCCCAGAGGCATCAAGGTTTGGTTCCCTCACAAAAGCTAATTTCCAGATCTCTGTGTTTTCTTACTGTTCAAATATGATGTTATTTCTGGTTTAGAAATCACAGAAAAAGTGTCTTGAACTCTAATAGAGCCCAGGACGTATCTAACCTAACATCAGTAAGGAGTCAGTGGAGTTTTTGTGGCTTAAACAGATAAAAGTCGAAAAGTCTTATTCACATTATGAAACCAGAAAAGTAAAGGCTATTACTGGACCAGGTTTTAGGCCTAAAAAGTGAGAAATCAAACATTGATTAAAGCCTTTTTGGTCCTACAAGATATTTTATTCATAGTGTATTTTCCAAAAGAAGATTTTTTGAAAATATACTATGGAATTTATTCCCAGGTTGGATTTTCTGATCAACACATACTGGTATTAACTGATTTAGAAGAGGCCTTTGGCTCTGGTTCCTCCCAACGAGCGAATCTGTCTTTCGATTTGTCCCTTCTTTTGACTGGTTTTGATATTGGTGAGGGGTCCTGTGATTGGTTTGGCAGGTTTCCCTCCTGGCCCACCAGAGGAGAGCTCTGGCCTGGCTGCTCTGGAGAGAGACGCAGAATCCCTGCGGAGGGATTTTAGGTGAGATTTTTTAAAATTATTTATTACTTTTCTTTCTTTCATGCACAATCTTTTGATGGAGGAAAAGATCAAACCTTTTCCAGTCTAAAATATTCCCTGTTATTTGTATTCAGTAGTCTTTGATATAAAAACCTCTTAGAAGGTTTGGGTCTTCTTATGCATTTCCAAACATTTTAGAAAATGATCAGATAGTCCTAAGAGAGAAAAAAAAAATTAGATAAATTAAGAAAAATCTCCTGTTCTCCTGTGTTCTTTTCCTTTTGTGCTCTGTGTGAATCCAGCGGATGACATGGGTTTGGGGAAGACCCTCACCATAATCTCTCTGATTCTGGCCCAGAAGAGGAAGACAAAGGAAAAAGACGAAAAGAAAGAAGAGAAAGAGCCTGACGGTTGGATATCTAAAACAGGTGACGAGAGCCTTTTGTCTCTGAGAAATAAAGCGGCGCGGACTCGACTGGCTTTTTATCTTTTATCTCTTTTCCTTCCAGACTCCAGCGTTGTCGTCTCCAAAGGCACTCTGATCATCTGTCCCGCCTCCCTGATTCACCACTGGACCAGGGAGGTGGACAGGCACGTGAAGAAGGGCCTGCTGACCGTCTACCTGTACCACGGCGCCGGCCGCGAGAAGAGCGCCAAAGTGTAAAAACACGCACGCTAAACGCCACTTTTCCTGTTTGCTCGCTTCCTGTTTCTCCTTAGATCTACACACAGATAGAAGAACACAATTCAACCCTCAATGACTATTTTTTGGTTATAAAAAGTCTTCTTATTTAGTAGAAATACAGTATAAGGATACCCTCTCCCCCCCAAAAGAAATGACAAAAAACATCAATAATATACTCATAAACTCGCAATATTATTTAGGAAAAAAGCAACATTTTACGCACTTTTCTTGAAAAGTCTGTCTAGAAAATGGTCTTGACAGTAAATCTGCCACCAAATCAATTTCTTCTCCTCCTTCAGCCATTGTGGGGTGATAAAATGGCTATTACACCAACACAACTATATTTGGGTTTGTTTGCTAGCTTAAGCCAGTACGCTATCTGACTATCCAATCAGCGGGTAGAGGGCTAGAGGGCCCTGGTGTCACAAACTTGAAACCTGATTGGTTAAAGCAACAGTTTAATAGACATTTATTATTATTATTTATTTATCATTTATTATTATTTTCTGTTAGAGGGCCTGCAGAACGGATTGTGAAGGCCTCCAGGCAAACATCTTTGACTTTGACCCTGCCTAATAACAAGTGATGACTGAAATGTGATTGGTTAAATGCTTTCATGTGAAAATACATGTCTGGAAACAGCACAACCAGGGGTAAAGCTATGAAAGGAAGTCAACAGACCATTTGAAAATATTTGATAAGTATTCATGGACAAAATATAATTAAAATCAGTCTGTGATTCAGATATTTTCTTAGGCCAGCAGACGGCCCACCACTGCCTCCACGTCTTAAAAACCAATGCTGTTTTTTTCCCTCAGGCTGGCCGACTACGACCTGGTGGTGACCACCTACAGCCTGGTCTCCAAGGAGATCCCAGTCCAGAGGGAGGAAGCGGGGGAGTCCGCCAAAGATCCCGATCACGTAGTACGTGCCACCCCAGAATGAACTGGCCAGCGTTAGGAGTTTAAAAGACCTTAACTCATTGACTGCCAGCCATTTTCAGAACAGAGAGTCCCATACTGCCAGAGTTTTTTGAGCATTTTGACTGATTTTTCAAGAGCCACAGAATAGTTTGTGCTATGACCATGTAAACACCGAACACACCAAAAGAAAGAGTAGACTTTATTCTTTCATCAGGAAAAAAAAATTGTTTCTACCTTATTCCGTTCTTCCTCGACTTGCGTCTCACCGGCGACATGTTCTCTCTTAGCAAACCGTTACCTTTTTCTTATTTGCCTAGAGTCTATGCTCATCTCCCATCAAAAGGGGCACTGCCACCTAGATGGTCAATTTGTTGCTACATACTCTGTCTAGAAGCCTGATATTTACAGACAAGCTTTAGCAGATCGTCCCCCAGCCACTCGCGTTGAAAAACATAAAAGACGTCTATAAACATCTCTGGCAGTCAACGGTTGTATTTGAATTGACGTCTATAGACGTCTTTGGCAGCCAATGAGTTAAAAACTGCCCCTATTGGTTTTCAGCCCCCCCGCTCGGCCCCCCTGATGCGGGTGAAGTGGGCCCGCGTGGTCCTGGACGAGGCCCACAACGTCAAAAACCCGA